AACTTTCCCTGTCTTCTGTAGCTGGAGCATGTTGTGCTCTTGAACCCTTCATGCTTCCCCCACAAAACACATAACAAAAGCTTGTTTAATCTGTGCACATAGATCAGTGCTTTGTATTTAATATGGTTGAGGCTGAATTTAAAATTTTGCATGATACTGCTGTGAGGAGGATTAATGTAGCATGTTATGTGCTGGAGTCAGAAGAAAATTCCTTGTGAACCTGTGCATCCAGTCACTCTCAGTGCAAACACACTGTGTAGGCATTAAAGTCTATTTAATAGGTGTTGCATGACTGGGCTTTTTGTGGCTTTCACTTGTAGATCTATTGCTCTCAAGCAATATTAATCTGTTTAAGTAAAATTTGTATTAATGGAATTGCTGTCTTTACACACAAGTGTAAAATGGTTTTAAGTAAGAGGTGGGTAAAAGGGGCAGCAAAGAAGGGATGCACTCTCCCAATTTTACCTACAGCAAATAAGGATAAAACAGGTCAGTGGAATGCCACATGGTGCAGACAATGGGGTACCTAAGTTGGACCAGTGGAGTTCTTGGTCCTCCAGTTACCAGAACAGACCAGGTTATATCCTAGAAAGCTCTTAACAAAATGACAGACTTCTGGGCAAGAGTCCTTACTCCCCACTTCAGCATATGGAGGTTGGTGACTTAGTTTATACTACATTATTCAGTTCTCATTATGAGAAGCAGGGGGGAGGATTGTTGTGAGACTGGCAGTAGGTTCATCTCTATCTATGCAGTGTCTGCATTTCCGAGATGAAGAGAGCCTATCAAACCTCTCATCTGCTCTCAGAGTAGAGCAGCTTTTGTCAAAGCTGCACACCATCAGCAAAGACTTGAGTGCCCGGCATACTAAACTGTAGCTTCTCCCCCCTCCCCCCCGCTCCCAGCAGCTCTGGGCATTACTCACCTAGGATATGCTGTAAAAAAATCTTAATAAAGTAAGAGACTTCTGGGTAGAAACTCATGCCCTTAGTTCTCTGCTTCGACACCGAGGTTTGTGCAATAAACAATTTCCCATCTACTATCTATAGACTGTGGGGACAGAAATATTTTCCCTAAGGGCAACTTGGCATTGCCTTTTTGTCAGCTATGGGAATAACCATTTGGGATAAATGGAATTGTTAGTGAAAGGATAACGCTTAATTTTCACCTGTTTTCTTTGACTAGATTTTTAAAATAAATTAACTAAATGAAAAATCTAGTTGGAGTTAGTTGCGGGGTTTGAAAATAGGTGAGATGCTTGGGGCCAAATCCTATTTACTCTTCTTGATCCTCAGTGGCAGGTATGTACCTGCACATTTGAAGTTTTTGACACTTGCGTAGAATTTAGGATTTAGCATTTCCTGTACTATGTTATTGTCCTACAGGGTATCCTCATTAGTGCTGCACTCCAACTGGGCAGCTACCTGGGAAAACAATCACCCATGAATGTGCACAAGGCTGGGAAAGCCCCAAAATGTCAGTCAGAGAAAAAATTTAATTAGCAGGTGTTAGGTGCTGAAGGACACTGCCACCTTTTAGCTTGGTGGCACAACACTTGCCTGATGAGTGTGGTCTCAGGATCTAGACCCACCCTCTCCAGTATCTTTTGCTTGCCTGTCAAATGCTTCAAACACCAAGAAACAAGCCACAGTCAAAGAAGCCATTGTGCAGGTCTTTTCACTACCCTTCTCCTGAAGTGATTTACTGGTCAGCCAAGAAAGGGAGATATGTAGGGCCAAGAGAAAGGGTACAGGCCAGTGTGATGGTTTAGTGAGATGGAGGCTGCTCTAGAAGCAGGGCAGAAGGGCTGAGTTTTAGTCTGGGACACTACTCCCCATAAGGCAAAAACTTTCCCAGTGTTTTTTACAAGGGTGAGTGGGCCAGCTTCTAGAGGAGTGTTGGGGAAGGCTCTTGGCACTGCCTAGCCTGTGGGCTGATGTTTAGATCACTCAAGCAGACTACGTAAATTCAGAGGGAGGGAGGCTGAGAACCCATATTGCCAACTTAATTTTGCTTTGGGCAGGTAGCAATCCAAGTGATCCTTTTTCACAAGCAAGAATCCCAAACTGTGTGTAAGCACCAGAAACTGCAGGAGCTTTGCAGTATTTATTCTCTCATCAAGTATGATGGAGAAGTGAACTATATACAGCATATTGTGCAGTACTTATTCCCAGAAATGCAGCAGGAATTATTAAGCAATATATGTGCTATGAAACACAGAGCTAACTTACAGAATTCATTGCCACAGGAGGTGGTGGAGGCAGATGGCTTGGCCAGATTCAAAAATGGACTGAAATTCATGGATGATACAACTAGTAATAGCTATTGAATAGAACAGTTGGAGATGCTTCCTCTGGCATCTCTAAACCAATAATGGAGGATACTGGTTCGGGGATAGATCACTCTAGAGATTTCCAGTTCAGTGCTGTCCCTCCATCACATCCATTTTAGCCACTGTCAGAAACAGAATACTGCGCTAGATGGACCATTGGTCTGAACCAGTATGTCACTTTGTATGGTCTTATCTATTTCTAGGGATATTAAAGTGTATAAAAGGCAAGCTTTGTTGCACAGAATTATTTCAAAAAGTATATGAAAAAATGCACAACAGTGCTCACCTACACAGGCAATTTACACTGGAATAGACCTGATTCTGTCAGAGTAAAAAGAACTGCATGCACAGAACATTTACAAATCAGAAAAAGTCATAAAAAATCTGCAAGCACAATTCCTTGCACCAGAGTCAATAGGGAGGCTTTACTCCTGTTCAGATCAAGAGTAGGTTACCTGGCTGCAAGTTACTTGGCAGAACTCTGTGAAATCTGGTATGGATGCTTTGTAAAGGGTTCCCCGTTTCCCATTACTTAAGGAAAGGGTGGCATTGGGGAGGCTGGCGCTTTATGGGCAGTATTTCAGCTACTTCCACCTCCACCCACATGAAGAGATAAATAAGGCAGCAAGGCAGTGGCTCCTGGTAGGCTAAGGATTATCAGGAGGCTGGTGCTGGACAGCTCCCTGAAGGCAGCTTGGCAGGGGCAGGCTAAAGTGCTGAGCCCAGATGGCTGAGCCAAGATTTGAAGACTGAAGTACTATCCTACTGTGGAGTAAAAAAACTCCATAGCAGCACATGTGTAGATGCTGGAGGGACTGCCTGGGGCACAAGGGTACTTCAGGCAGGGGCGGCCTGCCAGCTAGCCTGATGCTGAAGCTCAGTTGTGCCCCAGAAAGCCCCACCACAGCAAGTTGAGTTGGGGGGGGAGCAGCTTTGGGCTGACCCCTGGGGCCCTGTCTGACCCAGCTCCATATGCTGCACGTGAATAAGCTCTGCAACTTATTGCTCCAGAGTTTATTTCGCTGAAGTTAATTTCTCCCAGGTGCACATTCAAATGACCAGAAAGCAGGGTGGGCTAGCAACAATTGGTTGGGAAATGCCAAATGTTATACACATGTGGGCTTTATTTTTCTGAAAGGAAAATCAGAGGCTGAGAGGTTTGTTACTTGTCCACTCATTTTTCTTCTCCTCTCCCTAAACAGGTGCATACACTCACTTTTTTCAAGCAGTGATTCTCAACCCTTTCAGACCTAAGCATGGGAGTTAAGGGAACATCCTCCAAATGAGAACTTCCTAAGCCAGTGGTGCTCACCGTTTTTCCCCGGCCCCTCTGTGGGCTAGATCCAGCCACTGTCCCCCATGCAGTGCCCAGAGCCAGCACCACCGGCCCCAGTTCAGCCATGAAGGGGGGCAGGGGACAGCTCAACTCTAATCCAGCCTCACAGGATGCCTCACAGGGTAGGGAGACCATGGTCTGGTCCCAACCTGGCCATGCATGGAGAAGGGGGTGTGACCTGGCCCCAAATCAACTGGATGATGGGGAAGAGGGAATAGCCAGCTCCCATTCAACCACACAGTGTCTGGCTGTGCGAGGGGTGGGGGTGTGGGAATTTGGCAGCCGGGGAGGGTGGCTATGTTAATGGCCACTGCCCCCTGCTATGAAATTTCCTGATGGGTGGAGAGCTCCATGGGCTGCCTTTGGCCCGTGAGAGAGGAACAGTGGAAAAAACCCTGGTCATGTCTCATCTACTCTCCTTTTCAGCATCTGCACTCTGCCACTGTCTGACCCACTAAATGGCAGTTATTTTATTCTTCAAGACAGGCCTCAAAACATGGCCATTCCTGGCCTTCACTCCTTTGTTTACCAATGGAAAGATAAAAAGCCATCCTCTGGTTGCAAAGAACTCGGGAAGACCCCAGTGCAACAACACATCCACCACCAGAGCAGCGGTGGCCCTCTGGATTCCTCCTGGAAACCTCTGGGTCTCTCCTGTGACGCAGGTGTAGGTATTCGCACACCTGTGGGTGTCAATATTGCCCAGCACCCCTATAAGGATCTCCAGCCTCCCCAGGGAGGAGAATTGCTGTGTTAAGGGCCCTGGGTCATGTCTGGGCACAGAAGATGTGCAAGGAGGATGGTGGCCAGGAGGCTGCTTGGGCGCTGGTCCCAGCCCCAGGAGGAGGACGCTGTGCCACATGGGGACTGAAGCAACCCACAGCAGTGCTCCTGCCACCAGACCCTGGCTGCCTGGCCCAGATGCTGGCAGGGGCTGAGGGCTCAGCTCCCCTCAGGTGGGTGGTGCGGGGTGTGAATGGGGTCTCCCTTTCCGAAGCCAGGTGCCCGGGTAAGGGGGAACGCGTCACAACCACCCCACACACTGCGCATGCTCGCCCCTCCCTTTCCCCCGGAGGGGCCGGGGCGCCCGGCAAGTCCTCAGGCCTGGGCGCACAGCGGAGCTGCTGGCAAGCGCGAGTCTCGCCGCAGCGCGGTGGACGCTGGGACTCGTAGTTCTCTGCGGGCACCAGGCGGCCGCACACTGCCCCCGTCCTGCCTCCGGGAAGACTGCGTTTCCCAGCCTGCCTCGCGCGGGGCCGAGGTGACGTAAAGCCGCCGGGGCCCGGATAAGAGCGGGCGGCCATTTTGTGCGTGAAGCAGTGGGTTGTTGCCTTCGCGCCCGGTCGGCTGCTGCAGCGCCGCCCCTCCCCCGCCGGCTTCTCCTTCTTCTCCTCCTCCTCCTCGCCGCGGAGTCTGCGTGAGACGTGCCCGGGCGGACCCAGTAGCCGCGGCCTTCTCCCCTGCCCAGCGCCCCGCCACTGAGTCGCATGTCAGCGATCCAGAACCTCCAATCCTTCGGTAACCCCCCCCGCCCCGCTGCGCCTGCGCTTGCGCCTCGGGACACCTGGGCTGCTCTCCGTGCGGGGGGGGGGGGGGGGGCGCAGGTTCGGGGCCCGGCGGCGCTCGGTTCCTGCTAGCCCCCCGTCTCTGGG